CTTGAGTTTTGTCTCATCTGGAGGCTCCACTGCGGCCTGAGAAATTCTGATGGTCACTTTGGAGAGTGGGAGACATCATCCTGGAGAAACACTGTAAGATTGCTGCCCAAGTGCTAGCTTTCATTTAAAGTGAAGCCAGCCCGGCCTGACTGTCTGCAGTAGTAATGATGGAGAGTGCTCGCCTTTACCCAGTCGGGTTTGCTCTGGTGGGTACGATGGGGAGGCAGCTGGAAAGGAGAGCAGAGACCACCTGACCATGTGTATGGGAGAAGTCAGAGGCTGGGTCACAGGGAAGGGAGGAACTGCAGGACAGGACACGGAACTCAACCCAGGGCATTTGAAATTGAGCTTTCAGCCCTTTACAGTTTCTTGTGATGACAGGATCCAGGGTGTGGCCACGGGTTGAGTGGTGTGGGCTTTGGTGTCCTGTTGTGCGAGAGTTTCAGGCTGCTCAGCTTCCATTTCAGGCTAAATGCAGATGAGAAAGCGCTGAAGAGCGTACCAGTAAAGATGAAGGTGAGCAATTACCAAGAGTTAAGATGACAGAGCAAGAAGACAAAATGATAGACATGGAGGACGTAGACTGTCCTGATTTAAAAGTTATAGGTGTAAAATAAAATGTTTAACTTCCAGGGCTGAAAGGCCTTTTAAAAGAGTCTATTGAGCCATTTCTAGCAAGAAAAAGGAGAAGGGATCCTGGGTCGGCAGTCTAAACACACAGACACAGACACACACACACACACACACACACACACACACACACACACACACACCCGCCCCCGCTCCCCAGCAGCGGCAGGTGGAGAAGACCTGCAGGTGAGACCCGGCTCTCTGTCCAGGAGGTGACAGGCTCACAGAGGAGGTGGGAACAGAGCTGCGTCCTTTGGAGAGAATCTGCACGGGGTGGGGTGGGGGTGGGGTGGGGAGGTGAGGCCCGCTGGTTCGGGAGGCGCAGGCCCTGAGGAAGGAGGCTTGGCTCGGGGAGGGTGGGGGCCAGGTCCGGAAAGTTCACGTGTGACGGAAGCACAGGTCCGAGGGCACCGGGCTGCTCTCTCCAGACAATCGCGGGAACAGCCCTGGACGCCCACCCCGCTCCTGCCCGTCGGCTCCGGCGGCTGGGATTCCCCGTCGGGCAGCTCCGACGGACCGACGACGAGGCTGAGCCCGGCGTGCCAACCGCGGCTCGGGACCCGCCCCCGCGCCGGCCTCGTGGGAGGAGCCGGCCTCCGGCGCTCCCGGCTCCCGGCACGCCGCGCGCCGGCGCTCGCGCATGCGCAGGAGACCGGCGGCCGCGCCCCCTGGCGGCAGGCGCGGGCGGCGCTGGGGC